TCGCAATAGGGCTATTGTCGCTGTGCCTCATGATTGGAGGCCAACATTTCGGCAGTAGTTCTTTCAGAATAACATTCATTCCTTTCATGTAATTTCCTATGTTGATTGCTTCTTGGGCTGGTTTATTGGGGTTGCTCGCAGGCGAAAGGATGGGTCAGATATCAGGGTCGGACTGAATCATGGGATAAATTCCTGGAATACATGCTGGATTATGTATCAGTGGAGTATGTTGACACTTGCCACGTGCATGTCCTTTTCGAATTTCTCCGAGAGTGAATTCGGTCTAGATGTCTCTCTGTAAGGAGTAGTGATAGTAGTTATAGTTACTGCGGATCGCCCGCCGGCATCAGCAAAGCCAGACTTGCAGGGCGGTGGCGCTAGTGCGGCCTTAGGCGCTTAGGCAATGAACCTACCCACCTCAAAACAACCCCGTCCATATTTTTCCACCCCTCCTCAGTGACTCCCACTTCCCCGATACATTTCTTCCTTTCCTCCTTCTTACCAGGTACATCCCCAGAAACATCCATATCTATCGGAACTTCCCCGCTTATAAATTTGACAGCCAACGCATACCACCCACCATGTCTGACGTCGCTGAGACCAAGCCCGACCCCACCATCAGCGCTCCTGAGGGCGCTGAGAAGCCCGAGGAGACGACCACCACCGCCACCGAAGAGACCAAGACTGAGGAGAAGCCCGAGGAGTCCAAGTCGGTGACCGAGTCCGCTGCCGAGGCCGTCAAGGACACTGCCACCAAGACCACCGACAGCGTCTTCTCCATGTTCGGCGGTGGCCCCAAGAAGGAAAAGCAGGAGGAGCCTGAGGATGCTAAGGACGAGCCCTCCGGCTCTTCCAAGGCCCAGAAGGGTGAGGATGAGGTATGCATTCGATTTTCGCTATGCTGGTGTCGATGATCCCCTTACGCCGGTTTAACCGTTACCCCGCTTTCCCCTCCATTGATGTCCACTTTGCCTCTTTACCCCTGATTCTTTGTCCCTTTTGTTGGATCCGCAAAAGTTTCACGACAGACCCGTTATATTGGCTACCGGTGGCTAACCATGTTGTTACAAACTTCTAGGACGAGGCCCCCGAGTCCCCTGAGGTTCACTTCGAGCCTGTCATCCGCCTGACCGAGAAGGTGGAGACCAAGACCAACGAGGAGCTGGAGGAGCAGACCTTCAAGATGCGTGCCAAGCTTTTCAGATTCGACCGTGACAGCAAGGAGTGGAAGGAGCGTGGTACCGGTGACGTCCGCCTGCTCAAGCACAAGGAGAACCAGAAGACCCGTCTCGTGATGCGCCGCGACAAGACCCTCAAGGTCTGCGCTAACCACTACAGTGAGTGTTGCCGTTGATCATTTGCTGTGGACTTGGATGGCTAATCGATCTTTCAGTTGTTCCCGATATGAAGTTGAGCCCCAACGTTGGCAGTGACCGCAGTTGGGTCTGGAACGCTACCGCTGATGTCAGTGAGGGTGAGCCCGAGGCGCAGACCCTGGCCATCCGTTTTGCCAACAGTGAGAGTAAGTGGATATCGAGATACAGAAGGGGGGAGAGGTTCATTTTGCTAACATCGAATCCTAGACGCCAATCTCTTCAAGGACGCTTTCGAGAAGGCCCAGCAAGAGAACGAGAAGCTGCTTAGCCAGCAGTAAGCAGGTTCCTGGCCTCGGATTGTCCCGGTCATCAGTGATATAGAGGGCTATTGTTAATGAACATTTTGATTCCCTTTCCCCCAGCATAACGAGTCTGATGTGGACTGCTCATGAAAGACCTATTTCACCTTCATCCCGACTTATCTTTGTTTCCCCCTTTCTCTTCTCACAAGCATCAAGCTCCTTACCATTTTCACTGCCCCTGCTTGAGAGAAAACAGAATTAATGACGCCGGTCATGGCGAGACCATGAGTCGATGCATGCATGGGTCCTTGGTTTTTCGGCCATGTGGTCCCTTGCATTTCGTGCGACGACTTGGTACACAGTAGATAGACATCACATGCCCCCAAAATATACGTATGAAATTCACGAAGTCTCTGCCTGCACCTATTGTACCTATACAATCGATCGATAGAGTTTGACTTGGCTCTCCCTCTGATGATAATGGTAGTGGAGGGATTTCCCCTTTTTTTTTTCCCCCCAAACTTCGAATAGATGGATTATCCCGCGATGTTACATTTGAAAATTGAAGTGAATTCCCGAGCTCAGAAAAACCCGCCTCCCTTGAAAAGCTAGTAGTAATGAGATGCAACTCGAATGTGGGTGGCTGTACCTGTTGGACGCAGGCGGTTAGTTAGTGAGTGAGTGACCCTTGGGCGTCGTCGCGCCGCCGCGTCGAAGAAAGAGGCCGTCCGGCAGTCAATAACCACTTCCAATCCCCCACCCGGCTTTCAGCCCGCGGAAAGCTTCACTCTCGCTCACTCCTCCTCCCTCTCTTGTTTCTACGTCTAACCCCATCCCTCGCTGGTCGGACACCTTTTGAACTGCACCCTTCCCCCCGCTAACAACCATTCACTCCGCTCCGAAATCTGCAGAATTCCCGACAGGAACTCCCGCCAAACATCCTACTTTGCCTCACCTAGGCATCGCGCGACCTCTACATCCGATAGCTCCTGCATCCCATTCAGACTTTCGCGGGAAGGGTCTCTGGGAAGATCACCTCTAGTTCTTTTCTTCTGATTTTGACGGGCGATTGATCCACCCTCCTCTTTCAAGATGCCTGACGTGAGTTCCGCTTCCCTCCCCAGATTCAGTAATGGCTCCCTCTCCCACTGGCGCTTGACGCGAACAAACTCGGTCTACTTTCCACTCGATCGCATGACACTAACGTGACGCTTTTTGCTCGACTTCTACAGGTTAAGAGAAATGTCAGATTGGTGACCGAGCAGCACGTCGTGTACGTTGTCTCCTACTAATCCTCCCGGTTCCCGAGTCATTCCTGAATGAATCACCACCGCTTCTCTTCCCCGTCATCGCTGCCTATCCTTCTCCCCTTCTTCACACATCTGTTGTCGCTCATCGCGCGATGGCGATTCGGTGTGCGCTTAGGCTCCTACACGGTTACCTCCGCAGAGAATGACACAAGGGCAGAAGCTTGAGATGAGAAAGGAATCTCTTTGCTGACCTCGTGCGCGTCTTCGCGTCTACAGGAACAAAGACTCCGGCGTTGAAGGATTCCCCCTCCGATCATGGTCAATTGAGATCTACGTTGTCAACGAACACGGCGAGCAGGTGCCTGCGAATGTCTTTGACAAAGTGACATACACGCTGCACCCTAGTTTCGGCGACAGGGCCATTCAGAGTACGTCACCTCCTCTGCGCTTCAGATACCCCTCGATTCGCGTCAGGCCATTGAAAACCGGACGATAGAGATGGTCGACTTTACACGGGAAAGAGGGACATGGATCACTGGCAGCTGCTGACATTGGAACAGCCTTCAAGAACCCCCCTTTCAGAATCTCAGAGGAAGGATGGGGTGAGTTCGACATGCAAATAGGCCTCACTGCCGCCGACAAGGAGCATTTCGTTACGCACGATCTCAACTTTGCTCAGCCTCGTTACGAGTCCAAGCACGTTATTGTGAGTAGATGGCTCTCGGTGTCTTCCAGCACTCTCGGGGCACCATTGATCGTGCTAATTCTTTTCTCCCGCACAGACGTTCAAGAACCCCAAGCCTGCTCTACTAGCCCTCCTCCGCGAATCCGGACCCGTCCCAGGAGACGAGAATGGCGTGAAGTCGAAACGCGCCGCAACCGGAGAGGAGGGATCCAAGAAGAAGAAGCGGACAGAGAAGAGTGTAAGCGACGTCTCAGCCTCAGAGAAGAAGCAGAATTATAATAGAAACACATCTGACATGATCCGAATCCCAGGTCGACATGGACAAGCTGGCCGACGGTCTGCAGCGACTCGGCGAAGACGACCTCCTTCAGGTAGTACAGATGGTGCACGACAACAAAGCCCCAGACTCGTATACCAAGAACGATGTTGAGCGTAAGCTACCACCACCCTTTGCAATCCCTCATCTCACTAACTAATCAATCCAATCCATCGCAGAGGGAGAATTCCACGTCGACCTATATACTCTTCCAGACACCCTAATCAAGATGCTGTGGGATTTCACGCAGGAGAAAGGCGCTTTGTGAACAAACGCAACAACTTAGTTACCCATATTTTCTCTTTTCTTTTTTTGCTTTTATCAGACCTCTTTTGGGCGAAACAATTGCTATCTTGTTGTATCTCTCTGGCTGTTATTTCCCTCCCTCCCTCTCCCCCCCTTATTCCACTCAAAGTTTACTAACTAACTAACTACTTACTACGGAGTACTTTACTTACCTTACCTTACTTTACTGGCTACATTTCGCATCTATGAACAACTACTAGGACTTGTCTATTGTCTATCTTGCTTGATTGCTTACTTCTACCTACACCTACTTGTCTATCTACTAGCCTACTCCACCTGCGTTGTATTTTTGGGTGTGCTTTCTCTCTTTACTATCACAAAATAAAAACAAACCAGGAAGAAGGGGAAAGAATTGAAGTGGTAAATAAATGGATGGATGGATGGGTAATAATGATTCTTTGTGCAATAAGTAGCGGAACAGAGACAGGCACCAGGTGCGGAGGCTGAAGGGGGGGGTTTTTGGTTAGTAGCGAAATAAAAATAATGATTTGGGCACTGTATTGTGTTGAAATGGACGGGAATTGAGAAGAGAAATTACCTCATTTGAAGCATTGCACTTGATGATGATGATGATGATGGATACTGGCTTGACTTCAGTAGTAGTAGTAGTTTTGGTACTTGGTAGTTAGGTGAGGTGGGTGTTCTACTAAGTACTTTAACACTGGGTGAGGGTTTTGTTACGGGAAAATATTATGTATATAGTATCGTGATGATGTATGTTGATGAGTGTAGAGTCCGTCTGCTAACTATGTGTTTATGAGCTATGGTATGATGTAATACAATGCCTGGTGGCATGATGTGTATGCTATGTATACGAGTGGTACTAAGTAGGTTCCGAGCAGTAGATAAATAAGTAGATAGGTAGTCGGTCTCGGATAATAACACATCATGGCATCGGAAAGGAGATAAAACGAAAAGGAGAAAAACCAAGAACCGTGTTGGATATCTCAACCTCAAGGTCAATCAAGCAATCAACAATCAATCAACCATGTAAATCAAAGGCCCAGCCTTGCCTGCCTGAACACCAGTAGTACTGTCACGTATGTACTGTAAATCCGTCTATATGCATGCATGTACCCGAACAAATCAAAAAGAGAAACAAGAGGAAATAACAAACAACCAAGACACACTGCCGGCCAATCGAGGATGCAAGAGAAGGAAAAGAGGATAGAGATGACCTGGACGCCCGCTTTGCTGCATTTTGAAGTGTTCGTGCAGAGAACATTATCGCTGTCATATGAACGTGAAGAGAGGAATATTTAGCGTTTCTAGAGTGCTTGTTGTTTACAAGATACGGTATCTGGTTGATTGGTCAGTGGTTTGGTCATTGGTAAGAAGGGATACAGGGATGTAACTTACGATCTGAGCAGGTCTTCAAGACTATCTGCGCTGCAGCTCCGACCCTTGGGAATCTGTCTCAGGATCTCGACGATCGTAGCAAAGACATCGCCGTCCTTGTATGCTAGCAGGGCGGGGGCTTCGATGTGGTCCATCTCGGCGATCTCGTGGTGGAGCTTGACGAAGTGAACAGTGGGTTGACGACGAGCAATGGTGTTGAGAGAGTCTTCAACAATGCTGCTGGTTGTGGACTATAGAAGCGTCGGGTCAGCGACAAGTTTTCTTGACGAATGATACAATTGGGTAGAACATACCTCTGGGTCATAAACGCAGACGACTACTACCGTGCCGGATGTGACCTTCTCAATAGCATCCAGGTATCCCACCGCATCGACAATATCCACAGACCCGTACAACTTGCGCCGGGGACTAGGCTTCCTCAGGCTGCGGGCCTGCATTTCCTGCATGCGGGCCGCGCGCCATTGGTGAAGGAATCGTTCCTCATCATCGCTAGCGGAAGATCCATCTGGTGGGGAGGAGTTCTGGAGGAGTGTAGCGTCATCGTTGACGGACTTGTTGTAGTGGGAGCGATCGAGACCAGCGACGCCGAGAAGGGTTCTGCGGAAGGAGCTCTTGCGAGCACGCTCAAAGGCCTGGGCATCGGCGATGACACCCTTGGGGCCGGTGTTGGCGTCGAACACGGTGTTGGGGACGCGATAACTGCTGGGGTTGCGGGAGTGCATGGCAGAGGGAGTGTCTTCGGCGTCGGAGAATTGGGGTTCGTCGTGGTCCGAGGATGCGTCAGAGGAGTGAACCGAGTCGTTGTCACGGTCCTCAGGATGAGAAGAGAATTTCTCCCGGTTGTTGTTTATGAGTTGATTGAACTCGTCTTGAGCAGATGACATCGTGAAGGAGGAAGCGGGAGGGTTCCGGGCTTTAAAACAAGGTCGAAGACGATGACAATGTCAATGATATTCTTAGAGCTTGGCTGCGCCTTGATCTGCGTCGACGATGGGGTACCGTAAGGGCCTAATTTATTTTTTCAATTTCAAAAAATTTTTGCCTGGTAAGGAGCAGCTGGCGGGGGGGGGGAAGCGAATGAAACGAGAAAAAGAAGCGAAACCAATGACGAAGGGTCGTATCCAACACGAAAACTAGGGGGGGTAGAGGAGCGTGTCCCAGAGAGTGTTAGTACACGTTTCAGAATATTATTATGGTTTTCGCTCCGGTGCTTTTCCTAAGAGAGAGGGAAATCCAGAGTGTTGATCCAAGGGAAGGCAGCAAAAGGCAAGAGAGGGAGAGAGAAGAGAGGCTGAGGAGGGGGTGGATGTGGAAAGAAGGAAGTGGCGGGAGATGAAACAATCGAGGCCCGAAGGATGGAAGGGGAAGAGAGAGGGACGGGCTGCCCGAAAGCGAAGATCAGCCAGTAGGAAAAAGGGGCGGTGTTTCAGAAATCGGAGATCAGCCCCCGGGGAAAGAAGCCGCGAAGAACCTTCCATTTCATCATATTCTGTTGCCCCGGGTGCCATGGTTGATCCCCCAATGGCTGTGGCCATGGTGCGGCTGGCGGGCTCAATTAAAAGAATAGCAATGGTTTTTTATTATTTAGTGTGTATAAGATCGAAATATCAATCGACTAGGGCTGGAATTAAAGCGAATGGCTAGCTCAAAATGTGACTTGGAAGTCCTTGTAAAAAATCGTACTATAGAGCCCACAAAAGCCGACACTCTAATTCATCCACAACGACGTGGGATTTCGTGGCAATGCTTTGGCTCTCCCACACTCTTTTCTCCCCTTGTACCCCCCAAACCTTCATGCCACCGCGTGATTACCCTTTAACTCAATGTCCACACGACTGATGACGTGGTGTGCTGGAGGACACGAAGGATGGGACTTCGCAAAGAGAGAGGGCCATTTGCTTGGATGGTTACCTCCAAATGGAAATCAGGATCCTCCTTGCTCTGACAACTGGCAGCTCCCCAGTGGATCTAGCAGCATCAGATGTGTTTCATCCCCATCAACGGAGAACAAATCCTGTCGCTCCTCTCCCTCAACAAGAACTCCCAACACCGCTTCTGGTAAGTTTTGCGTTCGACGTGTTCACCTCGGATCCTAACGGTTTGCGCATCGCCCGCGCTGGCCGCCCTTGTGGAGACAACAAGTGACACATCTTTTGGATAGGGCCCCCAGATCCAGTGGGCTCCGCCGTCGGGCGAGATCCGGACAATGGCCTTCCAGGTTCTGGCCTTCCAGTAAAAGCTCGCCCTGCCCTTCCGGTTTAGACAGTGTCATCCTGTACCTGTTGATCTGGCCCCGTCCCCGGTGGAGTACGGAATCGTTGCCTTGCCTGTTCGTTACTCCTCTTCCGCGGGCAAATCCTTCATCCTGAGAGTGGTACGTAAGTAAGTATAGGGCGATAGATCAGCCGACCCCACGCGTGTGGGAACTATTAATAACTTGGGACATCCCGTGTACGCTGGTCCGTTGCCAGTAGGACTGACCTTTTGGCCGCTGCAAGCGATCCCAGCGCCCTTTTATCTATCACGGATATAGCCTCCTGGTCTCCCCAACAGACACTCCCGGTTCTATTCCAGCGAACCCTACCCAAGCAGGGTGAATAGGAACAATGACACAAAACAAGAGATTCCAAAGAGATTATTGAGCTTTTCCAAAAAGTATTGCCTGTCATTTGTACTAGTGGCTGCCTAAGAACTCTCTGCCACACCTTGGCTGACCACCAGGCCGGGACATAAGAGTGCCGCGGAACATGACTTCGTGGGGCGAACCCCCCGAGGGATAAAGGAAAGATTTGCTGGAAACATGGTCGATTTCAACACCAGATATAATAAAGGAAAAGCCCGCTTGAAAACACTCAAATGACACAACCGACACTTTCAAGACGTAGGCTGATGATTAGTAACAGAAGGAGATCGCAGTAAGAGTCAAAAGGAAAAACGTCATGGCCTATCCGGAAACATTCCCTCCCTTTCCATCCATCACCCGCAAAAAGTACAGAAGATAGTGAGTAAGAAAGGTCAGAGAAAAGAAAAAGGGGTGGGAGAAAGAAAAGGTGAAAGTGAAAAGAAAAAAAAAAAAAAAAAAAAATACTCGATCATGGTAGTAATCGAGGTCAGAAATTGAAGAAAAAGACAAGGGGAAAGACGTCGAAGAGGGGGATGGGGTAGTAAGGGTGAAGGGTAAAACGAGATCGAAAGAAATGAACACAAGTAAGAAAATCAAGCCCGCGAATACATAAGACCAGGGGCCTGCAAATCTTCGAAGCTCAAAAGATGACATGTGAGATGCGCTGCCTCTTGCCCAGCAACGCACTGATATCCGTGCAACGATCCCGAGGTCTCAAACATCAATAGCATTATTACAACCCACCGCACCAGTAGTCGAGCATTTTCGGTTCGTGTTGGCATTCTGCTCTTCTCTTTGCGTATTCTTTCTCGTCACACCCAGCTGGGAACGGCGGCAGAATCCCAACCCCGACATGCTTAGGCACCCTGACTGCCCCGTGATTTTTCGCTTCTTGGTAAATTTGCCGGTACTCCGAGATAGTACATTATGGAGCAAGGGCGACAGAATTTGCTCCCGGTGAAAAAGATTATCGTACAATGGCGGACATTTAGCCTAGTGGCGCAGAAAAAGGAAAAAAGAAACTTGGAATGAGGACGTCGCAAAAGACTGAGACAGGGTATCTTTGCTGTTTTTGTTCGTTTTGCTTTTTTACCAGGCCCAGACCTTGAGCTGTAAGACGGAGGACGATTAGTATGCTGCACAGCCCAGTCCACCAAAGTGATGCTTTTGCTAAGCTTACCAGAGAATCCCAGGATCCAGTGCACAAGCTGATGCCATCGTTGCTGACTCCCAAGCAGCTTACGCGGTTCTCGTGACCACTCAGGGATCCAACCTTGTCTCCGCGCAGGACATCCCAGACCTGCAGGTGAAATATGATCAGCCGGTTGTCCTATATTACAACTAATTGGGCAGCTTCAGTCAGGTCTTACCTTGCACTCGAAGTCATCGTAACCAGCAAAAAGCAATCTGCCAGAAACGGAGAAGGCCACGGAGGTGATACCGCACAGTATTTGGTCGCTCTGGAAAGATCATTCGTCAGCCACTGATTAATTCGCGATACAGATTGCCAGCATTACCTGGTAGGTGTTGAGTTCGCGATCCGCACGAATGTCGAACAGACGGCAGGAGGTGTCGTCAGAACCGGTTCCGAAAGCGTTTCCGTCGGGGAAGAACTGGATGGCGTTGATGTCGGATTCGTGTCCAGCGAAAGTTTGCACCGCCTTTCCGGTACGGATATCCCACAGCTTGGCGAAGGCATCGCAGGCGCCCGAAACGAAAACGTTCTGGTTTGTCGGGTTGATGCTGATCGACATCACGTCGCCAAGGTGATCAGCGAATTCAGTAACCTTCGAGCCCGATTCGATATCCCACAGCATGCAAGTCATATCGCCGGAAGACGTGATGATTCTGCGATCGTTGATGAACCGACAGCAAGAAAGGTAGCCGGAGTGTCCGGAGAGCTCACGCGCGACACGGGTCGGACCCTCACGAGAGGAGAGGTTGTAGATCGAGCAAATGTTGTCGAGACCACCGCAGGCGACGTAGTTTCCACTCGGGGCATAGGCACAGGTCATCACCCATGATGACCTCAGCGGGATCGCATGGACCTTGTTCGTGGTGTAGGCGTCCCAGATGATGAGCTTTCCGTCCTGAGAGGCGGAGACGAGATGACGGCGGTCGGTCGACCAATGCATGGCGTAGATCTTGGCCAAATGTCCCTTGAGCGTCCGCCGGGGCTTCATACCAATACGAGGCAAGGTTTCAGTTTGGTTCTGCGCGACTTGACGGACTGTTGGGGGGGAGAGAAGGAACCAGAGTCAGCAAACGAAACACACGACCAATCAAGAGTACAACGACGATTTGTTGTCCCCCATTGCGAGGAGAGGCCATGAGATGCGAAAGGGAAAAGAGGGATGCGTACGAGTTGTATCGGCCAGCTCATCCTTTCTGCGCTTGATCTTGTCCTTCAGGCCTTCAGCTTCGCGCCTAGCCGCGGTAATCTTAGCCTGCATCTGTTCGCCGGACATGTCGGCCATCTTGACGGAACGAGCCCCTGGAGAGGGAAGATGTCAATTGTGAAACGGAAGACGGGCCTGAGGGGAAGAAATTGAGTTGACGGCGGGCGGCGGCGTCGTGAGATCCAGGGGACTGAAAGAACCGCGAGAGGGGGGTGCGGGAAGAGGGCGGTAGGGGGAGGAGGAATGGGAATAGAGAGAGAGGGAAGGAGAAGGAGTGAGAGAGAGAGAGAGAACGAGGAGGGGGGTTGATTGGGTGTGGAGCGAGTGCACGGCGGAAGCGACCGAGCGAGAGCAAAGAAAGTTTCGACCCGGGGCAATGGTGAGGTGGTTCGGGCGTTTAAGTCAGCCAGGGGGGGGGGGGGGGGGGGGGGGGGGGGGGGGAGAGGAGGGAGAGTAGTAAGTAAGTAGTAGTTAAAAGTAGTTAGTGGTAGGGAGGAGTAGTAGCAGTGGTAGTAGTAAGTGTGGGAAGGAGGGGGGTGGGTTTTTTGGTTGTAAGTAAAGTGAGTGAGTGAGTGAGCAAGCAAGAAAGCAAGCAAGCAATCAATCAACTGCTGAAGCAGAGAGAGAGCACGAGGTAGTACGTAGTGGTAATCGGGATGGGATAGGATACGATCTTGGGAAGAGAAAAAAAATTAACTTAAGATAAAAAATAAAAAATAAAAAAGAGGGAAAGGGGGAAAAGAGAGAGGAGCCTGACGGACGGAAGGGCCAGAGAGGGAAAAGGCAGGGAAAAATCCAGTTGATGACAAGCAGTTAAGATGGAAGGTGGTCGTAGTAACTCCGTCGTAGCGCCAATAATAATCATGTATGGCCTCACCAGACTAAAGCAAGTCGTGCCCTTTACTCTATCGGGGCTCTGATGGCTGCTACTAGACGCGGCTGTACGGACTATGACCGCGGACTACTACGACGCCAACAATACATAATACACAAGACCGCAGGGACCAGAGTTCAGGATAGGATAGGATTAGGATGGGAGGGGATGAGATGAGATGAGATTACATCTGATGATGTTACTCTTATTGCGGCGGTGGTGGGCGGCGATAATATTGGGCTGGTGATCCTGGCTGGTGAAACAATACCAATTGTTCAAGAACACTGCCACCAAATGGGTTCACAACAATAAGACTGTGTGCCAGAAGAAGAAAGAAGAAGCAGCAGCCAGCAGATGATGATTATCGGAGAACCGGTTAGTGAGTTAGTTAGGGGGAGCTCCTCCCTCTCTCTTCCTCTTCCCTCTCTCCAGGAGGATCGGGGGGAAGAGAGAACGGAGCCTCCTGATGAAAAAAGCCAAATCCGGTGGAGGAATAAGTTACCTTCCTGTGACAATACGAAAACCTTACCCGGCCAGCCCTTCATTCACCAGAAAGGGAACGTGCCATCCCTGATTGACCAAACCAGCAGAAGAATTGGTCGGGTCAATCTCAACCGGTCCATCTTGTTCTCCTCGTTACATTACCCAGGGGTAACTTATCTCCTCCTCGTTGGTTTTAAGGGGAAACCAGCCAGAAGAAAAGACACTAGATACCACGACCACTAAGTCAAGTAGTCTAGCTCCAAGTACGAAGTGCCCAGGTAGGTAGGTACTCCGCCAAATAGTCCCAGGTCTCCATCAAGGCCACTAAGGGGGGGAAAGTGGTCTACACCCTGGTCAACCCGGTGGAGAATTTCCGCTGCCATTCCCCTCTGATTGGCCAGATCGCCGACAAGTGGAGGTGCTCGGGACGCGAAAACCACAGGGGAATTTCTGAAAGGGGGGGGGCATTTTATCGAATTAGTTGGGATTATTCTTCCGGGTCTTCCTTCAAATCTGAAATAGGGGACCTCCATACGGAGTAGTCGAGTATCTATCCATCTAACTAGTAAAGCTCCAGCAGTTGAAGGAATGTTCATGGAAGGTTCAACGTAGGACAGGGTTCACTAGACACTTACATAGTACATAATCTCTACCGTTGACACTTGACATCTGCCGACTTTCATCTCCTTGCCCACGGGGCAAAGTCCGACAGTGCATGAATCGCCGGTTAGTCCAGGTTGCATATCCACAAGGATTGGTACCAAAAATACGCGAATTGCTCTCTGCGTGCCGAATGGCGGTCCATCTAAGCCTTGCACGAGTCGACCCTCCTCCCCTTTCCCAAGACTATCTACTTAAACGGGTAGGAAAGAGGAGAATGAATGCTCTGCTTGCAGATCATGGTCATAGCTAGATAACGTCTACATTACGGTTCACCATGTCTGTCTCCTGCAGAATCGAGTATCGAATCCGGGATAGATGGGGACTCCGACGGACTTCGAGATTAATTCCACATCTACTCCGTACTGCATGTTGCTTCGATCAACAGTTTGTCCCGTTCATGATGAGACACCCTTTTTCAGGGACCGTGAAGGCACAAATCTGTTATTTTATTGCACCTGGTTGTTGAAATCTTTCCGATTTTGCCTTGCAAAAAGAGATCGGAATGAGTGATGACGAATGTCTAGTGGATTAGTTACCCGCCGCATCCTTCGAGGCTATTAGAGCCGTATCGTCTTTCAACCATTCTCGCAAGATATGCATTAAGAAGTAAGCTCCAGTTCCAGCTTCATGCTGTGCATACCATGCAGCAACAATTCCTTGTGCAGAATTGATAGGCGTTGAGCCGAAAGCCAAGCGGGGATGGATTATTGCGATGGCTGGGGCAAATGCAAGTCAGAGGTTATTCTCCATTCATTCCACTTGTTGGCCAAACATCGGAATTTACTGAGTGCTTAGTAACCCGCTCACTTACTGCATCCAGTTGTATATCCGCAGTGAACAATGCTATTGTTTTACTTTCCATTTGCTTTTGCTTCTTGTGGTTTGACCTGTCTGCTGGGGGATGTGCTGAACCGGGTAGTATCTACCTTGCTCCTCAGATTTCTCTAATTCTTTAATTCATTTGTGCGGCAGCGAGCCAACTCTTGTCCGCAAAGCGGCAGCGCCTACTGGTCATTTAATCTACAGCGTTGGAGACGGTAATATCCACCTACGTCAGGTTCCCGAATCTTATTGCCGGCTGCAGCTGCAAGAACTCATTCCTTTTTATCACGGCAGTTCGGCATGCTTATCCTCGGTGATGCATCACAATTACTACTTACTATCCAGGGCCGCCCCCGGTGAATCACTTCCAATTGTTTTTTTGAGAAAGTGTCTCACAAAGGACAAAAGGTCCAAAAGACGGGAGTTGCAACCCCCAATGACTCGTGAGAATCGCAGGGGAGATGAATAGAATTAGATAGGTATGGTCAGTGTGCGTTGAAGCGGGTCTAACCTTCGGAAGGGAAATTGGTCACCACTTGTTGTCTAATTAGATGCCTATCGACTATCGACAGGAGGTCCAATACCAAGGCAGATATGGGGCGGGTATTGCTGCGTACGGCTTGTCCACCTGGAGAAAGGCGCTCCACTGGAGAGGAGGATCGCTCAACCTGTGCCTGACTAGCCCATCCGATGCCCCTCCGCCGGAAGGTCTTCATTTATCGGAATTATTAATGATATTGTCTAGTCGCATTCGTAATGGAGCTGCTGCGGCTTATTAATACCTGGTCAAGGCCAATTGTCCCCTGATGCCTTACGGAGTACGGATACTATCCGCAGCATGTTTGTTGTCTCCATCATTCTGCTTTGACGGCCTGGGCATGCAAGATGTACCATGGAACTCCAGTCCCTTTGTTGTTTCTGACTACAATGAAGCTACATGAAAGTATTTCAGCTGTTTTCACATACTTTCCTATATCCAGAATTTATTAATTTCATAACATTGCTCCACGGGCAATGGTATAATGCACCCACTTTCTCCTTATTTTCATGTCCGTCCACTGCTATTCATTGGTTTTATTGGCAGTTCCAATCATAACAACCCGCTGCATCATGAATCATAAATCTCATGCAGAGTGCCCTTTACATGCAGATTACTACTGCCTGCAGGCTAATAAGTCAATACATCGGCCCCTTCGCAGGAATACACATTGAATTTCTGCCTGGTGCAGCGCCTCATGTCCGAACCAAGGCTGTGCCAAATCTACTAGTATCCAGTGTGTAGTGCAATAAATAGTCCGCCTTACGGAGGACAAATTGTGCTACTGCAGTGTACCAAATTCACACAGCGGAGTTAGATGTCCAAGAACCGCCAAGGTATAGATAGTAGTAGAGCAATTTAGACAAGGCTGGGTTAGCGATCCTGATTTCAAATATAGAATTAGTAGAAGAGGACGGAACGGTTGTCTCTGGTCCCCCGGTCAGAATTAAGTAACTACGTACCAGAGTGGTTTGATTCTGACACTTGAACAAATCTCGAACGTATACTACTAGTAGCTGCCTGTGTCAAGAATAGATATAGGCTCAACGCATGAACCAAACGAATCATGCACGTCAACCAAATCTCAATGCCGGCTATCAAGCAATCAATCACTGCGCATCATGCTACAGCCAGCCAGCCATTCCTGCGAAAAAGACAAACAAACTTCGTCCTTCCAGAAGCAACACCCTCAGCGCTAACTAAAAAAGCCCGTTCTATATATAGTCAAGGCTGACTTCAATCCCTACTACGTACTATCAATCATGGACTCGAACCCGTCCATCGATGATGAAACTTAAACCCTGCACACACTGTCTGGGGGATAAGCAGGCCTACTAGTTCCTAGTTCGCAGCATCTTCAGCCCGCTCGACGCATGTGGGTGTATCTGAAAGCTCCATGATCGTGCGTGATTCGTCCGCACCGGCATTGGCTTTTCTTCGTGGGCGGTTAATGCTGGGTACTTAGTATCTTGTCCGCAGCGGTTCGCGGCTAGATTGTGCCCTGTGTTTCTAATCATAGAATGTGACGGACTGGACTGTCTGTGCGCTTTGTGATAGAGGGGTAAGGGGGGTGCTTTGGTTGTTGATTGCTTGCCGGGTTTTTCTGGACAATAGTGATTGACTGGTTGATTTGTGCCTTTGCTGAGGATGGTCTTGATTTCTTCACGAGGACTGGTTGGTTAGTTATGGGTCTAGCAGGGGTGTTTACCGTCGACTTCTACTTACTCAGTAGTCGATGCTAAGTATTCTGCATATCTAAATACATCATCCGTGAGAGTTATTATGCAGGAAAATTAAATTAGATTTGAGGACTTCACAGTATGAAGGTTTGGTTTATCGATATCCCTAGTATCCACTGTAATTCTATCCACGGGTAAATATTATCTATCTCCTGTGAGAACCAGGAAACGAATGACACATATTAGGGAGGAGAGATTGCGGAAAGATAGCTAGCTAGATCGGATATATTACGAAATCATCAATAATGACTGAAAATCAGAAACACATATTCATATGAAAGGGATACCGATCATGTCGCACGGTCCCATACAATAAGTTAGTAAACACCCTTCTGCCTCCCCCCTGGGATATTAACCCCTAAGGGTCATGAAGACCGGTGTACCTTGAGGGACTTAGCGTTGTAGTCGTACCACCAGCGACATGAAGGGGAGGGGGGGAACTCGTGACCAAGGCCGAGAAAGAGACTATAAGATGAGTATTTCAATGTTCTTAACCACTTCAGTCATATGCAGGACCACCGGTGGGTGCTCGGGCTGGTCATTGCTCCTGGATCTACACAGGACTCCGCTTGTTCTGGTAAATGGGGACCGTTCGAGAGGATGGATTATGCGCGCGACCTTGGGGGCAGCGACACGGTGCTATTACTGTATATGTGAGAGTGGTTGACCAGGGATAATACTACCACTGGGGAAAAACTAGGACTGTGTAGCAAGAGAGTCACCAGGTAGATCTTCAGTCAGAAGGGGGTCAAGGTTGTCGGATGCTGAATTCGGTGGCAAACCCCGAGAGGCAGAGAAGAACACCGAAGGGAATTGGTCATCATGGTGGTAAGGGCGCAAAAGACACGGCCAAATATCGCTCATTAATTGTCAGTTCCGTGATGGACCAAGTTGATAGATATAATTTCCGGGCGAGAGAAGGACCTGGAGTAGATCCCTTTTTTCAGTAAATCCGAGAAGGAGGGAGAAGACAGAGAGGGAGGGAGGGAGTAAGAGAGAGGCAAAAGGGTGGCGGGCCAAAAAGCCTGGAGGACGAAACCGCCTGACACGGCCAGCGGTGGTCTCTCTGTCTCTCTCTCTCCGCTTTCGCTTTTCCAGTCCGACCATCTCTCCTCCTCCTCTCCTCCTTTCGATTCACAACTTCCCCCCTCGGTCGCCATTTTCATTCACCCTTCGCCTAAACCCCAAGTGCCTTTTCGCGGCATCATCCAATTTAACTTGGCGTATTCCCGCAGTCTTTCCCTCGCCTAATCTCAGTCCCTGCGTCTCGCTCCTCCGTCTTCGTCGACGCCTACTCTCCTTCCGTGATTCATCGTGGCCGCCAGGCTCTGACGGACCGGGTCTTGGCCTGAACAATCCTCTCTCCCCTTTCACGCCGCTCGTCTATCGTTCTACGATCTCCTGTCCATCCTTCCCGTCCATCAGCCTGCTCAACAGCACCCTCTCGTCGTTCACTTATTGTATATCTGACTCAGACTTGATGACGGGATTATAATCGATACGGATTTCGCCTCAGACTCAATTCTCCTCCTCTCCTCGTTTCTTCGCCCGGTCACGTTCCTATCGTCGATCTTCCCATCTCACCATAGGGGCTGAACTACATCGCCCTTGATCGAGACATCACATCCTCCTCTTCATCCGACCGGTCTTCATCCCGTGTCACACATTCATCCTCTCGCCCACCATGCGGGAGGTCAACTTCAGCATCCCAAATGTCAACAAGGCCTCTGTAAATATCACAACCACCCTCTACGACCGGCGTGCCTTGGATTGCACATCAACGCTACCACTCATCAACTCCCTCAACCATTTGGCCTATCTCACCACATCATCAGCCCGTATCCGCGATATTCTGACCGTCGATGGCGGCATCGAACGGCTGGTATGTATCCTCAAGGAGGGTCGGAGTCGGGATTTGATGGAGATGTGGAAGTGGAGCCTCGCCTTCCAATGTGTTGTCAATATTGGTGTGCGGGGCTCGGAGAGCGTGAGGACTCGAGTCGTCGAAGCCGATATGGTGCCCGTGATTGCCACCATCCTTGATAACTATATTAAAGTGGTCGAAAAAGCCCGCGCACGGGCGGATTCAGAAAACCAGAGACATTCATCACGACACCACTCCAAGGGTGCACCCATCACCAACGACGCCCCTTCGCGTCCAGTGTATGTGGACCAATCGACGAACACCGAGCAACGTCCCTCTCGCCGCCAGGCGCCACCGCCTCACATTGAAATCCCCCCTTTCTACCAAGACAGCCATGCCTCGGATTCGAACGCCATGGACATCACATCGTCCCCTCGGGTGCCTGTGACCTCCCCTCCGGAACGGAGCACCTTTGGACAGGATGCCCACAACCTTAGATCCAATGATACCCGCTATGCCCATGCTGCTCACCGCTACCGGGTGATGCAGCCCCTTGCCACTGCCCTTCCTCCTATGGATGCAGCCGATGGCTTTGGCCTACGCCCCGTGCGCGACACAGAGAGACTTCCCAGCATGCTGCCTGGTTTCCAGAACGGCCTTGCGTCTCAGCCTGACTCCCCAACCACTCCCAGCGGTCCTGCGCAGCTGCGCAGCAACACACAAGCCCCTTCCGCCCGACCACGGCCTACCCTGAGGCAACAGCAATCAGCCTCTGGTGAGTCGGATGATGGAAATGGCGAGGGCTCGACTCTGGGTGATGACCCGGGTTCTGGAGAGACCGCTGAGCCGATTGTCGGTATCCAAAACCGCATGGAGATCGACGATGACGGCGACAGGCAAACTGTGCTGGAGGGTGTTTCCAACACGCACGACTTGACTGTCAATGACACCTCTGAAAGCCAGGAAGCCGAGACATTCAACATCACTCACCGTTCTACTGTGGATGGCAGCATGATCAACAACGATGCAACGCGCACGAACGGGGCCTTGGGCCTCTCACCCACGCAAGCCCCCAATACTACCAACTCGCCTGCTGTTGTTCCCAGCCCATACTCACTGTATGTGCGTGACCGATCAACCACAGCGGTGCAGGGCGTCTTGACGACGATGCCCAAGGACGAAGATGTCCTTATGTCGCTTCAGTTACTCGCATATGTTTCCAAGTACTGCAACCTGCGCTCTTATTTCCAGCACTCCCACCTCGTCCCTAAGCTCAAGGTTGACCGTGAGCTCCAAATGTTGGAGGACGGCGTGTCGCCCATCGAACCTCCGGAGGAGGAAGATGAATACCTGCTCCCGGACGATGTCAACATCTTCCCCTTGGTGGAGAAATTCACGGTTCGCCACCACTCCAAGGACATGCAATACTGGGCATGTGTGGTGATGCGGAATCTCTGCCGTAAGGACGAGTCGCGAGGCGGCATCCGGCAGTGCGCATACTATAAGTGTGGCAAGTGGGAGGAATTCCAGCGACAATTTGCCAAGTGCCGGCGCTGCCGTCGCACCAAGTACTGCAGCAAAGACTGCCAGAAGGCAGCGTGGGTGTACCATCGTCACTGGTGCCACACCACGCCATGATATGAACGCATGAAACTGTTTAATACCTCTAATGCATATCGGCTTGCATAGCGTCGTATCTGTCATCTGTTACCATTTCGTCATTCCGTTTCGTTTCCGAGGGTTTCACGTCTACCCGTGCATGGCATTTCAAAACCTGGCGGCGTTGCTCTTCATCCCAAAGATACCTCTTGTATGTCGTCGAATTTTATTTCATCATCATATTTCGATTTCTCACCTGTTTGATTAACGCGGGGCATAAAGCCTGATTCCCGGTCATATGGATTGATACTAGCGGTCATGAATGCGTGCACCTTTCTACCTTCTTCCTTGGATTGTTTCTGTCTTCATCATCTTTTTTTCTCTCTGTCACTGTTCGAGCCCCTAGTTCCTCCCCGTCCTGACGCCCAACGATTTTCCTTTGTGAGTAGCAGCCTATCTATCTAGCATTGTGAACCACCTCTCCCTCCAAACACAATCTTTCTGGAAGCGATTTCTTTGGGCATTGTGATTTACCTCCTATTGCTTGTTACTAAGAATCGGGCTGGTGCCGAGCCCGATCCAGTTTTAGTTGGGTTGTTGTGCATCTTTGGAACCTGTGCATACACGAGTGGCCTCCCTATGGATTGGACGGTGGCTATTGATCTAGTACTTATTCACTTGACATTTCACCAATCACCACCCACCACTATTTTAGATCTTAAATAACCAACCCTACTGTAATCTTATCTTATTCATTCATCCTTCTCCCCCCTCCGAAACCCATACGTAGCATCCAACCTCGCCATCAAATGCTCCTGCGCCGTCAACGCCCTCTTCCGCTCCTCCAACATCCCCGCCCCACCCCCAAACCCAACCCTGACCCCTCCTTCCCCCTCCGTAGTATCCTTACTCCTCCTAAACTCCTCCACAACCTTACTCGGCACAGGCACCAACTCCGTCCGATCCAACGGATGACAAAAATACACAATACTATAGCGGTCCTGCGCGTTGGGCCTCTGCTGCTCCGACGTAGGGAACACCACCCTGTGCACCGTACTCTTGAGTAGTCCGTCCGTCCAGTAGCTGAGTAAATCCCCGATGTTGACTAGAATGGGTGGGAAGGGGAATTTACCCCCCTTCCCTTCTTCGGAGGAGGTGGTGGGAATAACAGGAACAGGCGCCCACCCCTTCCCATCCGGCGTGAGGATCTCCAGCCCCGGTTGTCCTGGACGCTGGAACAAGAGCGTGATGGAGCCGTAGTCGCTGTGGGCGCCGGCTCGGACGTCCGTCTTGTGGCTGTAGGTGGAGGTTAATGGGGAGGTTATGCTCGGGTAGAAGAGGTAGCGGAGGATGCTTCCTGTTGGGCCTGTGGTGGGGTCGTGCCGGGTGGTGAAGAATGTGGGGGGGATCTGGGTTTTAATTTGTTAATTATGTTGGTATTGGGATTTGGTGGTGGTGATGTTGGGAGGGGAGGGGATGGGGGACTTACGCCGAGGCCCAAGGCTAGAAGGGTCAAGATCCGAGTGCAGGTTTTGTTGCATAGGGAGGCGAAGTGGGCGATTTCGGACTCGTGAGGGGTTAGGGATGCTGGGAGAGGTTGTTGGGCTTTGTTGGATTGGGTGAATTCGCCGAAGTTGAAAGCTCTGTTGGTTTTAGAGTGGGTGGGTGGTTAGTTGGTGGTGGTGGAGGTGGTGGTGGGTGGATATACTCTTTGAAGTCGCCGGTCTGCGAGTGGTTAGTGAGTGAGTATATGTTGATAGATGGGATATTGGTTTGCTTACGCGTTGATGCTCAGGGTCCAGGGTCTCGGAGTGCATGCCGGACCAGCCGCGGTTCTGAGTAGGGTTGATTAGTTGTGATATCTAGATATTATATGGTAGAGTGTCGGGTGGAGTTTCACGAACGTTAGGTTCAATGCGACAAGCGGCCTTTTCTTCAACTGGGGAAGCGAAGAACTTCTTGGACTGCAATTTGATACATTAGTATACATTGCTTATAGTGTATGGGGATATGTACCAATTCAAAGGCATGATCCACCTCCGCGGCCGTGAAATCGGTCCCCCGGCTGTCGACATACAAAAAGCCATACTTGGTGGCAGCAGCCAGAAGGGCCTTCCCCGCCTCGGGATCGAGGGGGTTGGAGATGTCCAGCACGGGGAGGTCGATGGGAGGGCCAACGTCGGACATGGTGCTATGTCTTGGCTGTATGTAGATAGAATTAAGGTGATCAAGGAAGAGAGAGAAACTGTTAAAAAAGAAGGTGGAGATTACGACTTTATATTTAAATGGAAGCGACGTTGTTATCGGACAGCTGCAATACAGTTGAATGCGGGTCGAGCCGATGAGACAGTCATTGGCCCACCAAACCCTCAGGCTTCGGGTCCGCGGCCGTGGCTATCGGCTATCGATCGAATCGGGTCCAATGGCATGATTAAATGTCGGTGATTCGATTTGAAATGCCAATTCGGCTGGTGGGTGGGTTGCTGCGTTGTTGTTGTAATTAGTAGTATGTTCTTGCCGAGGATGTGTTCTGCAGAGTTATGTAGGGTTCGACTTTATGTACAGATGTTGACTAGTATGCTACAACTAACAACGTTTGAGACTAGAAGTTACAAACGCTTCTGTGTTTCTTATAGTCAATTTTGAGCTACTTGAAACAGGATGCTTGAGTCTGTCTACATTGACACAAAGTGATTGCAGTGAGAGAGTCTGAGATATGACTCAATGAAGAGGGTAGTAAGCCCCACTACTGTCTTGCAATTGCATAGCTACCATTCGGTTATGTGGACAATAGAATTGAGATTTGTTAATCAGTGCTTTCTGTCATTCACATAAGTCATATAATCCTCACCAGGCATCCTTCAAACTCTATTGATGGTGTACGACAATACCTACTAGCAGGAAGCCCTTCCATTTATACATGGATGTGCATCTGACTCGTAATTAGCATCTGCATGTATCATGACTGTGGTCGTTATATGTATGTCAGTCATGGGATTAAGATGTTCAGTTGCATGCAAATATATATACTGGTAGTAGTACTAGTATGCCGCAGAAACCATGCTCGCACCAACTATTACTACTAGTCGAATAATAACACAGGAACCTTCACTACTACAGTCACACATGACATTCTAATACATTTCCTATTTCAAGAAAGAGGGTCCAAATAAAGTACTCGAAAACATGTACCAGCAAACACCCGCCAATGCATACCGCGGGACGTGACACATTCATACTTCAGAGACAATTGCATTCATCAAGGACAGTTCCAAGGTGCAGCACACCTAAACAATAAATTGTCTATTACTATATGATACGCCCAACAGTAACTATGATATCTATCACTATAGTATAACAACTTCATAATTACCCAACAATCTATACAACCACAACCATAACCACAACTGCTGCCTCAGGCACACACACAGCCTAACGCCAAGCCCCCCATCCCCGTAAACGCATGACACCATACCCAATCCGGCATCCAGCATTGCCATCATACTAACCCATCTTATATCACCGTCATTAAACTTACCTTACCTCCTATGCTCATACTCATACTATACTCCCTCTCACTACCTTATATACAACACTCACCCTCCACTCTCTCCCACAAAATACCACTCACACACCTCCCAAATCTAAATCGCAATCAACCAACCCAACCACCCCAAAAAGCAACCAAAAATCCAATCCAAAATGTCCGATCCCACCGCCGAAGCCGTCCCTCCCCCACCAACAACCTCAACCCAGGTACATCTTACCCCCTTCCCTTCCTACCACATACAAACCCACCTACACGATATAAACCAGCGCAGCAGCAGCTAACCATGATGATCTCAGAACCCCGACGCACAAGGCCAATTCTCCGCCGCCGTAGATGATCTTCTCGACCAGCTACAACATAAATTCGATGGTGTTTCGAGGGAGATGTTTGGGAAGTGTACGTTTCATACATCCCCCCTTTGTACCTGTTGATCTGTGGGAGTGATCGCAATGCTGATAATCATGGGTATTCTGTGTAGTGGACGATATGGCCAGACGGTTGGATGAGTTAGAGGCTTCGTTTACGGTTGTGGATGGGACGACTACGTCCGGGAGTGCTGGTGGTGCTGCGTCGCAGACGGGGACGGGGACGGGGACAGGGTCGGGGTCCGTGGTGGGGAGTGCGGTTGGGAGTGCAGCTGGGAGTGGGAGTCCTGAGAAGTGATTGATTACGGTTTATACTGTTTGGTTATGGGGTTATGGTGTTATGGGATTTGCATATTTTGTGTATACTTGGGGGAGCTCTCTTTTGTTGTCTGTGGATTAGGGGGTGATACATACGGCTGGGTTGTGGTGGTTTGAGGTGGAATTGAAGATACCCCTTTTACTGATATTTAAATTTACTACATGCACATAAGATGGATGGTGTACTGTTCGCATCGATAACATTCTCATAACTGCCTCTCGATATCATACAGAGTAATAGAATCTAGGTGACCGTCACCTAGCTAAACAAGTCATAATCCATACAATATTTACAGCTCATCCTTGGCCTCCTTCTCCTCACCAACAAACTTGCGAAGAATGTTGCTGCGGGAGATGAGGTCGTCGACCTTCTCAGGGGCCGATCCTCCCTTGGCCAGGATCTTCTCCAGACGAGCAAGCTCCTTGGTGGCGTACTCGGCGTTCTGGCTCAGCTTGTCGGCAACCTTGACGTAGTACTGAGCGTACTTGTCCTTCAACTCAGTAGCAGCCTTCTTGACCGCAGCAGCCAGATCAGCAGCGGAAGTGCTGGCAATCAGCTCGTCCAGACTGGCAATGGTACCAGCCTTGGTGTCGAGGCCTCCGCCAACGGTACGGTGGGTGCCGGTCTTCTCGTTGAGGAAGTCAATGAAGGCCTGCTCGGAGCGGGCACCCTCGTAGGGGACAGACTCCGTGGAACCCTTGGGGAAGAACTTGATGGTGGGGTATCCGGACACGCCCTGCTCTCTGGCGGTGGCCTTGCCGTTCTCAGCGTCGGCGTCAACCTTGGCGATCACAACGTTGGGCTCGAGGACGAAGTCGTTGGCCAGAGCCTCCCAGGTAGGAGCGAGGTTCTTGCAGTCTGTAGTTCAGCGACAGTGTTAGTAAACAGTTCCCTAGAATGTGATAGCAAAGCTGGAATACGCACGTCCACACCACGGCGCGGTGAAAGCAACCAGAACATCATTGTCACCACCAACAGCACCCTTGAAAGTCGCGTCGTTCAGCATCTCCACCTTGCTGGGCTCCTTCTTAGGTCCACGGGGCTTGACACCGGTCTTCTCAGAGATGAACGAAGACAGACTCTCCAAATCACGACCACCCTTGTAGTCCTCCGGCTCGTCACTCTTTCCATCGAACCACTTCAGCGTGGGGAATCCCTGCACACCGAACTTGCGGCCCAGGTCACGGTGCTCGTCCGCATCAACCTTGCCGACGGTCACCTTGTCGGAGGCGTGGGCGAATGCCTGGCCCAGCTCCTCATATACGGGCGCAAGGTTCTTGCAGTGACCGCACCAGGGAGCGAAGAATTCAACCAGAGCGGGCTTGCCGGACTTGAGGACGACGTCGTCGAAGTTCTTGGGGACGAGATCGACCACGGCTGCGGTGACCGCGGAGGCCAGGCCGAGGCAGCTCACGAGGTTGCTGAGACGGACCATGATGGATGGTGTTGTTGTAGTTGAAGGAGAGGCTGAAGTAGGGCAATTGACAATATACTTGTCAATACCAGGTCTGTCCGTTCAGCGAGGAAGGGGTGTAGATATAGTCTGATGAGCTCCCGGCGTGGAAAGGCGGAAGCGCTGCGGAGACCGAGCGGGTCGGAAGAGGACACTTGGTAAGTTAAGCATCACTAATCAACTCCAGCTCCATCTGCGGCTTTACGGCTAAATATATCGTTGTATTTGCCACTACGCTCTCTTGCAGGTTCTGACTACGCGGGGGAATAATAATACTGGTGTAGCGCCTGCCAGCCCCTTCAATTCCTAATTATACAACGTGGTTGGAGTAGAATTGGGCGAGGCTTTCAGGTGGTCCTAGACCACCCAGCCGCACGACTGCCATGGTTCGTGAAATCGTGGACAAGTTGTGTTTCCTCTGGTTCTAGGAGGATACTCTATACAAGTCCCTTACCGCCGCTCGGCCAACCAGCGGTTCGCATCCTCCCACTGCTTACCCTCCTTAAGTTCCTTGCCTGCGCTCTGCGTACCGCGGTATACCTAGGAAGTAGATGAGTAAATACACCGGCAAAGATAGACAGTTCAGACTCACCGCATCCCACAGCTTGAACGCCATGTCCAGATTGCCCGTAAAGCTATCGCTATGCTGGAACCATTCCTTGCCCTTCGATTTCACTTCTGCTCGCGCCTCTGGCGATGTGGGATCCGCTTGCAAGGGCAGATCATCAAGGTAGGTACGGACAGCAATTCCAAGACCGCAGTCGTTGTCGTCGATGAACGGAAGCCTATATTGCGTCAGATCACGTCACATGGCGCATCGTTACATGTCCACTTACTTGATGCTCAGTTCGCCCCAATCGTTTCGCTCCCGGTCAGCATCGCCGCTCAGGAGTAGACTGGCCAGAACCACCTCAATGAGCGTCCGTAGCGTAGAACGAACCTCGGAGATCAGGGATCGGTAGCAAAGCAGTTGCCGGCTTAGTGGTCCAGAATAACCGATGCTCTTGTGCTGGAGTTTGGCGATGCAAGCAAGGCGGGAAACAAGCATGTTGAGGCTCTTATCCTCGTCTGGGGTGGAAAAAAATCAGTATTGGTTCATTGCTACAGATACCTCAATCTTACCTGATCCTCTCATAGGACCTCCCGAAACATGGGAGAACCACTGCTTGGAGTTGAGCAGGCCAAACCGGATCATCTCAATGGCAAGGAATGTTGGCTCCTCAAGTGCATCCGCCGGATCAAGTCCCGACAATGCTTGCTCAAGGCAGACTCCCCACTGGGTAAGCTGATGTTTCTCATCAATGTAGCCGCGAAGCTGTAGGAAGCGCCAGAAGACGTTGGCAAGCAGTTCATCTTGTGACGATAATTGCTAGCACGTGTCAGCTCGCTTGCTTGCGCTCTGGGGCAGAACATGCCTACCTTGGTGTCTTTCGTAGCCTTGGACTTCGCTACAAAGTCACTATCTTTCAAGCTCTGGACAGCAAATTGGAAGCGTCCGCACGAGCCCTGATCTTTGGTTAGCAGCGCTTACAATGAACGGAGGTTACACTTGCCTGCAGTTTCTGCAAGCTCTCTGGAAGCTGCTCGGTGGGAATCTTCCAAGACTGGATCGAATCCTTGACTGGAGGAAGATCTCGGAGGTTGATCGTTGAAGGGGATTTCTCATCAAACCATGTTCGCACATTGATAACCTTGGTCTGATAGAACCGATGGAGAGAGTTCGATAGCAGGCAAATCGACTGAGTCCGGATGGGTGTGAGGGTGCTGCCGGCAACTTGGCGGTAAATTTCCGTGTCCTCAACGCCCAACGGCAATGAGATGAGGACTTCACCCGACGTCAGATAGTTGGGCACATCAGGGCCCAGAATTCCCTTGGACAAGTAGAAGTAAAGCTCTTCTGGGAGGCGCAGGCCGATCACTGCGTGCATATCGGACGAGGCATTCTCCTGGTCCATAGGACCTACTCTGCCGTCAACATCAATATAGACATGGTGTTTCACAGTCATGCATGCGCGCTTGTAACGATCGGTGTATTCAAGCTCCTGCATCCGGCGATCCTCTTCAAATTGAGCGCAGAGAGCGAGAGCGCTTCGTCCTGCCGCGTTGAACATTGGCAGCGCATCTCGGACCGTCGGGTTCTTTCCGGGGAAGACATGAGTTTCGAACCCAGGGAAGGGCTGGAGGAAGGAAGAGCCCAAGAGAAGGCAAAGGTCCAAGAACTGATCATTTGATAGGCGGCCTAGTTCTTCCAGACATGTCTGTTTGTTGATCCAGAAAAATTGCGCCGGGTCAATCTCAATGCGGGTGATCAGCTTTTCCACATCGAACATCAACACTTCGGAGGGGCCGCAGATAGCATCGATTAGCGGGTTCGGTCCCTTAGCCAGGTAGGAGAGCTATAATACACAAAGGTCAGAAAGGCGCAAATGGTGCCAACCGAGGCAGCGGCATTCGTACCTGAGCTGCAGCACTATAGGGAGCAACGATGTAATCCACGCCATGCTGAAGAAGTATGCGCTGCAAGAAGCGGTATAGCGACTCGGGTCGAGGGGTGCCTATGACAGACGACAGTCAGGGCCAGACGCTCTAGAAGGTCGGATTCCACCATTAACATACCGGCGCTGCTGAACGCATCCACCACTTGGTCCGCCTGCTGTTGATCGTAAAGATCCCAGGCCTGCTCGAATGCCCGGACCGACTCCTGCTGCACGTGGGGTCGTTGATCCTTTTTGCCAAAGTCGAGACCATTGAACACGAAAATACAAGCCACGCCCAGATCCTTGTAGGCCTTCAGTTCTCTTTCAATGTTGCTCTTCAGTGCGAATGGAAAGCCGCCGAGGGCGACCAGAAGGGGCTCGCGCGTGGACGGTTGGAGGAGGTGTTGAGAAATGTAGTGCGACGCATCGATACCGACAACCGCCCCTTTGAGAGCTGAGAGGGGGAGGGACTGGGTGCGGGTCGCGGCCCATTCATCGAGCGGACGGACTGTTGTGACAGAGAAATTATATTAGCTTGGAAGAAGACGAGACACAGGAGCTCCGCGGGAGCCACGACCATAGCAGACTCACTTGGCATGGTTTTAGCTGTAGCTGTGTCGCGGAGTTAGACGCCGGAGCGGACACCAGGCGTGGAGAGCCCAGGTGGGGAATGAGGGCGAGGATATATGAAGAGTTGGTGCGAGGATGACGGGGAAAGGAAGACAAAGGGAGAAATTGAGGAGAAGAAAGGAAAGGAGGAGGGGGAGGAGAGGAGGGCCGGCGAGAAACCAACAGCTTAGATGGGGAGGGGAATGATTTGGTGGTGATGGGATGATGCGACAATTGAAAGTAGCAGTTACAGCTTGAAGCCAATCACGAGGGCGGTGTTGCCCGGGCCAACTGGCGGATCCTCACTCCGCTGCGGGATAATTGTAGTTCTTCTACTTCTTCCTCTTCTTCAGCTTCTACCATATAGTCCAGTTGTTAACTATGGGAGACACTGACCCGGAAAGGCATTTCCTATCAAAAGAAGCATCATGGTATAACCTGGTTCCCTGGATCTTGGAATCCTACGGGTGATTATGAGTTCATTTTGACTTCTATGTTATCTCGACATCCAAACATGAAAGAATAATGAAGTCAAAAGCTGCAATGATGACAGTATATCCTGGCCGGCTGGAAGTCTTACTACTTTGCTATGCTGCATCGCTATGAAAGTCATTACTACAGTCATCTAGTACACCCTCAGCCTGACAGAAATATCTATACACTCCTGGGAGTGGAAACGGACTCTTACATCTTGCATATTGCGACCCTCGAATATAGCGTCAGACCTCATCTAGCCATGATATTCTACTTACCTACAGAGAAATGTCACTTATTAGTCTCTCTGAGGGGACACTCACTGCCTGCTATTAGTATTCTGCCTTCACCCCCTCTTTACACCTCTATCCTGATTTGATTCTCTGTCCTTCCTTTTGCCTCCCTATTCTTTCCCTTCTAACACCTGAGGTCATTCATTTCCATGTGCTTCTCCATCCACTCTCTCGTACACATCTAGTGCCTTCTATCAATCTGAGCAGGACACATAGCGTCTCTTACTTTTGTGAGAACTCCACGCCCTTGCGGTATTCCTACCACGAAAAGCAGCATTTAACACTGAGACTAGAATGAAGTGCACGACTATATGTTAGACATCCTATGCTGGCCGTGGATGGATTTGCTCGTTATTGTGTCGAATGGGAGTTTGCCAGGAGCAGCTTCCTTTCTCTGACTCCTGGCTGCTGCTGCAACCGTCAGCCTCAACGCACCTGCCGTTTACTGATACCAAGGCTACCCTCTGCGGTCTCGATCGAAAGATGTGTCTTCTTCTTTTTCTCCCCCCAAACAAACTTCCTACAAGTACGAGCAAGATTCGCCTAACCACACCGGACATCATGTCAACGTGGAACTGCTATTCATTCGATCCGGAGGTTGCACCGCTGCTCGGTTATCGCCCTTCTATCACAGCTGGAATCCTTTTCACGATTGCTTTTCTTGGTGTCTTAACAACCCATGTTTCCCAAGCATGCAACACCATATATCCCTGGATAGGATTGGTGCTATCACTTGGAGCTGCCCTTGAGTTTATCGGATGGCTTGCTCGTACTTTGGCTTACCGCTGTCCATATAACTCCACCATATGGTCAATACAGCTGTCAGCTTTGATGTCTGGTAAGTATATAGTTCAATGAGTTTACATTGGCAACAACCACGGCTAAAGCATACAACTAGCTCCATACTTTACAACCGTCGGAATCTACGGAGTCTTATACCTCATGTTCGCAATTATAAACCAAGTTCGATTGCCGTTCAGGCCGAAACGGTGGGCGATTACGTGCATGTTTATTGCGCTTCTTAGCCTCATCCTGCAGGTCATTGGGGGCTCGCTAGCACACAAGGCCTCCAGTGTTGACAACTCAATCAGCCTGGGAATAAACATTTTGTACGCAGGCAGTCTCCTGCAACTCGCATCGCTTAGTATCTTCGCGGTGTTGTTCAAGTGCCTCATAGTTCGTACAAAAGATCGGCTCATCTGGAGGATGCCAATGATTAAAATGATAGGTGTACTTCCGTTTGCTTTACTTTGTTTAATGGTTCGGGATACCTACCGCGCCGTGGAGTCTACGAATGGATGGCGTGGTTATTCCTTCACATATGAAGTTTTAGGTTGTCTTTTCGATGGGCTGCCTATGTTTATCGCCAATGTCACGCTTAGTATCTGGCATCCCGCAGTGTTGTTGAACGAGGCGAGGCTAATGGAGGCGAGAGTTGCGCGAGCGGAGGAGGTCGAATTGCGAAGCATGGAAGATCAGAACGGGCGAGGAAGTCACTTGCTTGCCGAGTACCGACCGAATTCTGAGGAACTTGAGCAAGCCCTTCGTAAACGATAGTACTGATCTTATGGCTGTTTCAGGCTCATGGCTCAGCTCTAGTTAGCAGACGGGATCTTGCTTCAACTGCTTTATTGATACTTACCAGATAGTACTAGTTGAAGTAGTGGATGGGCTAGCATTTAGCAGTGCTTGTCAAATTCTCTCAATAAGAAACAAGAGATAAGTGCATTCATTATCACCCGCACACTGTAATACAATGTAGCTGGTAACATCCATCTATGCTGGCGGAGACCAGACATATTGCCAAGACCGCAGTCTGAATTCCCGTTCGGCATCTTCTCTCACTCAATCGCACGGCAGTACCATGACAACTAGATGAACAAATATTCTGACTGAAGCAGACTTATCATACACACTACACCGATATCATACACAATAACAAACCCAGAGCCAACAAATGAGCGCACAATCCTCGCAGGTGCGGCAACCACCGGCAACCCCCACTTACATTTTACGCGGCCATGCCGCTGCCATCCACGCGCTACAGATCTTCTACCAGAACTTAAGGCTCGTTTCAGGAGACGCAGACGGATGGATTGTCGTATGGGATCTAGTATCAAAACGCCCTCGGGCGACATGGAAGGCCCATGACGGCGCTGTCCTTGAAGTCAAAGGTTTTAGCTTTGGAAATGGTGCCGTTACAGAGGTGTTCACGTGTGTTACCTTCCCATTCTTCCCATGAACCATCTAACCTTTTCTACAGGCATGGAAGAGACCACAAACTGCGCGTATGGAGATTCAGCGTCCAGGATGAGGAGAATCTTCAGAAGACCCTCCCCGTGGACATCGAGAAAACCTCCTCAGCTGCCGCAAGCCAGCCATGGCTGGTACATTCACTTCCTGTGAATGCGCTGAATTTCTGTGCTTTCTCCATGGTTTTCCTTCCCCAGGATAAGGCCAACATGGAAAGTGATGCCAGTGGCTCCTCGAAAGAGAATACATCGCTTTCATCAGTGCTTATCGCCGTCCCTAACGCTCTGAACTCTGGCGCGATCGATCTTTTTCATCTCCCCCAGGAGAGACGTATCTGCACTATTCCAGCAGACACGGACGTACAGACCGGAATGGTCATGGCGGCTAACCTCATCATATCCCCATCTGGGGAGCTATATGTTGCTTCCGCTTACGAAGATGGTCGCGTTATGGTTCATGGCTGCAGGGGATCCTTGCAGGAGAAAGACTTCACGCAGAGCGCCAAAACGCCGTGGAAGTGGGAAAAGCTGTATATTTGTCGGGCTCATTTGCAACCGGTGTTGTCGCTTCATGTCTCGCCTGCTGGCAATTACTTCTTTTCATCTTCCGCGGATGCGGTGCTGGCGAAGCATCCCATTCCGACGTTGGGTAGCCCAGGACATGCCCCGGAAGAGTTGCCGATCAAGTCGATGAATACGAAGCATGCGGGCCAGCAAGGTGTGCGGATACGGTCTGATGGGAAGATTTTCGCTACTGCGGGGTGGGATTCTAGGGTCAGGGTCTACTCGTGCAAGACAATGAAGGAACTGGCGGTCTTGAAGTGGCATAAAGATGGTTGCTACGCTGTGGCGTTTGCGGATGTTGATGTATTTGATGTGTCCGAGAAAGCAGATGAAGAAAAGCAGCCTACGGTTTCGTCGAACAGCAGTGGAAATGAAGAAACACAGCTCGCCAGACGGGCAGAGACGGAATACTCGCTTGCAACGGTGCATCGGCAGAGATACGAAAAGGTGCAGAATACGCATTGGTTAGCGGCTGGGTCAAAGGACGGAAAAATCTCATTGTGGGATATCTATTGATTTGTCGTCAATTACTATTTACATGTGAGTTGCTGATCAAGCAAGATTGAACTCGCTTGCTCCCGCCATGTGCTCCTTCATCTTCGCCCTCATCTTCTGAGCTGCCGTGAGAGTGTCCGTTTGACGAGGAACATCATCGTCGTCGTCATCGTGACCACCAGCCTTTCTCTTCTTTCCTGCGACTGGTTTGCGATCGGCCTTGAAGTCCTTCTTGGTGTCGGCCTGTTCTTGGCGGAGACCAGGAACGTTGATCTTGCTGGGACGATCACGCAGAGCGAAACTCTTCGCCAGATGTCCGAGATGAAGCTCCTTGATGTTGAACATGCTCCGCTCGTTGGCGATATGTGTGGCATAGGCGCGAATGTGAGACTGATAAGCTCGCCGGGCCATTTCGAGGTAGTTTTTGTTTTCCAATGCCCACCGTTCCACATCCAGCTGCCATTCGGTGGCCTTCTCCTCCCAGTCTACGTTCTGTGACTCGACATTTCCTCCAAATCCGCGCTTCAGAATGTCGTCCGCGGTGTTGCGTGTCAGCGACTTTCCGCCGTCACGGTATCCCTTCTTCAAAATGTCGACGTAACCCTCCTCACAGCCAGGCATGAGGAAGATGTGTGCACGACCGTCACGTCCCAGACGCGCAGTACGTCCGATTCTGTGCAGATGGTCCTCGGCACTGAAGGCAGGGTCGTACTCCACGACTAGATCAACGTTCGGAAGATCCAGACCACGGGACGCAACGTCAGTACAGATTAGCACGGAGGGTTCGCGGTTGCGGGCAAAGGCACCCAGGGTGGCCGTCCGGACATGCTGGGGCAGAGAACCGTGCAGTCTATGCAGCGTCACCGGGTTGGAGGGATTCGAAAAGGCCGTAGCAGGCGCAATAGTTCCATGAGCCGAAGCACCGAGCTTCTTCCTCTTCTCCTCTTCATCCTCCTCATCACTATCCTCGCTCTCTTCCTTCTTCTCCTCCTCATCTCCATTCTTCCGTGTAAACACCTCAAAGTGAAAGTCCACAGAGTCCGCACAAGACACAAAAATGATAGCCTTCATGACAGACCCCTTCCTCATAAACGTCCGTTTCATATACGCCGTAAGCGTAACAAGCCGTAGCTTCGACGCGACAATCGCATACGACTGCTTCAGCTGTGCCGGCACCCGGAACGCATCATCCTCATCCTTCTTCCTCGGCTCGCCATCCTCCGCCGGATCCGCCTGAATATGCACCGCATCCTTCAAACTGATCTCTCCCAGCTTCTGCACCGTCATCTTCAACGTAGCCGAACACAATATCGTCGTCCTCTTCGCCGGAATCCCAGGAATCCGACTCGGCCGCTGCCTAGCATCCAGCTTCTGAATAATCCCCGCCAACTCCTTCTCAAACCCCAACTCCATCAACCGATCTCCCTCATCCAACACCAACCACCGCACATTACTCACATCCAACGCCTGCGTATTCTCCAAGTGATCCGCCAACCGACCGGGCGTCGCAACCAGAATATTCAACCCCTTCCTCAACCGTGCCTTCTCACTCTTCTTCTTCTCTCCTCCAATCACCGTCCCCGCCACAATCCAATGCGCACACCTCAACAACCCCTCCAACACCACCGCAATCTGCTTACACAACTCTCTCGTCGGCGCCAACACAATAGCAAATAACCCACTATCGCGCTGCACCTGCTCCGCTTCCTCCCTCTTCTTCTGATTCAACGAAATTGTCATGATCCGCTGCACAAGCGGCAACAGATACGCCATCGTCTTTCCGGATCCCGTCTCCGCCTGTATAAACGCATCGCTCTCCTCCTTCAGTAGTTGCGTGATACTCGCTTTCTGAATCGCCGTCGGCGCCTTCACCTCCAGCTTCGTCAGCAAATGCGCCGCCAGCGGTGCCGATAGTCCCAGGTTCGTGAATGTGTCCAGTCCATCAATCAGCGGCGCGTTCGTCGGCTTGGCGTCTTCCTCTTCTTCGTTTCCGTTCTTCTTCGCTTCGAAAGCGGTTCGAGGTCTCGGGTTCTTCGAGAAAAGCGACGATACGACATGTCGGGGACCCCCAGGATGTTGTTGTTGCTGGCGTGGTTGCTGCTGCTGCTGCTGCGATCCTCCATTCTCCTCATCGTCACCAATGCGCTGTCTCTTCACCGGCCGCGGACCGGATACTTGAATGCGATTCGGGTTCCGGGGGTTGCTAGTTTGTTGCTGCTCGCCATCCGTGGATGATTTCTCTTTGCGCGGGTTGTTCGATCGGTGCGCTGCGATTTTCTTTGCGCTGAGTCGGTCCCGCCATGTGCCGCCTTTTACTTTGGTTTTTTCGGGTTTGAGGACGGTTGTGTCGGGGATGGTGAAGTTGAGGAGGAGACCGTCGTCGGCCATTTTGGAAGATGTTAGGTAGGTAGGTAGGTAGGTGCCTGCCTGCCTTTTTCTTTTTTTTTTGTCTTCCCTTTTGTTGTTTGCTGGGGGAGGTTCTAGTACTGGATCGATCCGGGAAGAAACTTTACTTTACTCCAGAGGGAAATTTTCTCGGGCCGGGGTGCTTCCGAAACCCTGCGATCTTGCCCTATTTTCTGTTTTTGGGTGATAGCTGGATATTGTAGAGGGGGGTTGTTATGGGGTTATTTAGGTGGTATGGAGTAGTGTGCATGATCGTTTTGATTGTATGTGAAGGTATAGACTTTTAGGTACTCTATATACGCTATTGAGTTCTAGTTAAATGACGTCGGGTATATGACACTTGCTTTTGAATGGATCGGGCAACAGACAGACAGAATGAGCTTTTTAAACCCGCGGCTTGAAGATCAAGTTGTCGATCAGACGCACAGGAACTTGGCCATCACCGAGGCCGCAGTCCTCGCCCGGCTTCGCCTCCTCCAGCGGGGCCATCTTCACCGCGCCACTCAGAATGGCGCCCTTAGCGGGGTCGACAACCTCCAGCTCGTCCAGAGTATCCGGATCAGCCAGAGAGATGTAGTCAACCTCATACAGAGCCCTCTCCGTGGACGCCAAGGCCTTCTGCTCAGACAGAACCCGTTCAGTGACGCTGTTCGCTGCGTCAAGAATCTCACTGCGGTTGACCTTGCCAGTGTTGTAGGCATTCTCCGCCGCCTTCATGGCTTCGTAGAGGACCAGACCCACTGTCCGTCTTCTCTTGCCAAGGTAAACGTTCCTCGAACTCATTGCCAAACCATCGTGTTCACGAACAGTGTCCCCGATCTTGATCTCCGTATCGATGTAGAAGTCCTTCACGAGACGCTTGATGACCACGGTTTGCTGCACGTCCTTCTGACCAAAGTAAGCCCGGTCGGCATGGACAATGTTGAACAGCTTCATGCAGACAGTCGCAACTCCACGGAAGAAAACCGGCCGAGAAGCTCCCTCCAGCTTCCTGGAGAGAGGGGTGATGGTCACGAAGGATCCGTCGCCGTCGATATCGGACGAAGGCGGCAGCGTCGGGTACATGACCTTGGAGGTGGGCGCCAGAATGGCGGTGATGCGACCGCTGTTGGTGTTCTGGCGGGCGAGCTCCGCATTCAATTCCTCAAGCTTCGCAACATCACTGTCCCAGGTGCGCGGGTAGCTGGAGAGGTCTTCCGTTACACCGAACTGTGTCGGGTTAACGTAGATGCTGACGAAGACGTCGGTGTTCTCGGCCGCGGCTTGTCGGATGAGGGAGAGATGGCCTTTATGGAGAGCACCCATGGTCGGGACGAGACCGACGGTCCGGTTGGAGAGGAGGAGCTCTCGACGCAGCTTGCGAAGTGGGGGCACATCGCGGAAGACTTGAAAGGTGTGCTGCTGGCGGGAGGAAACGGCCATTGTGGTGGTTTTGAGGAAAGATGTGGCGGCTGTGAGAATGTGTGAGGGGATAATTAGCAGGTGTCATTCAGCAGCAGCAGGGGATAAATGATTGTGCGTTCAGGGGGCCCATACTAGAAAAGCGCCGTGTCCAGCCGAACATGGTGAATGCGAGTTCTGGGAGGTTGCAACGAAGGGCCCTGTCGATTGTACCGCAGGTGCCTCTTAAGAGTCCCGCAGTGGAGCAGGTAGCACAGCTCAGGCCCAATTAGCCACAGTGATGGTGTTTAGGAGGGAGACCGCAGCTGTTGGTGTCTGCGACGATGCTCAGCCCGGGTGAAGCCAATGTAACCGAGACGGCATGCTTGGTGGTGTGATAATTTGGGCATGAAAAGCGTGCTCTGAGCTGCCGCGTTGCGCTCATCCCTCAAGCTTTCGGTGAACTGAAGTTCCTGGACGTCCAGTGCCATTGCCCAATCCAGCCTAGCGTACGGTTGCACGGGGCGCAAGGCCGTTGGGACTCACGTGAGCGGCGGCAGCACGAATCGTCCCGAGGCATTTCTGGGGAAGAAGCCGGGGATCTTCGCCTGGTTGGGACCCTCGCTTGCCTTCTCAGGAACCAGGAGCTGGTCGAGCATGACAATGCCTATTTTTGCTCTCCCTCTCTCTTGATGTCGCTCGACTCCATCCCAGCAGTCTATGACCGCTGAGATCTATCGACCTGCTTATTCAATCACAGAGCTCTCAAGTGAACATTCCCTCCCTCCCCTCTCCCCGCCCAAGACGCTATGCCTTCCGATAAGTCCCCGGTCGGCGACTCCGCACCGGATCTCGAGATCGTGGGAAACAAAGTCACCATTCATCCAAGTGGAGTTACTGGAGGGCTGGAACCTCAAGATGAACAGATCACCGAACGCAACCTAGTCCGCCATATGGCGAGGTTTCGCGAGAACCCTTTCGATTTCCTACGAGAAGTGAGCTTGTACATGTCAGGAACCGGTTGGCGCGCCTACGATGATGTGATCGGACAACCCATATTCTATTCTGGTTTTACGGATCGAATGAAGTCCCGAATTCTTGCAAGTCCCTTGTTGCAAGGGAAGGTGAAGGAGCTGGCGGAGGCACGGTTAACAGTGGAGGAGAAGGAAGGATTGTTGGATGTGACACCAGGACCCTTGGAGCAGAAACGGATACACCGCCGGAATGAGATACAAAGTAATCTGAAAGAGGTGGTAGATTCTATGCTGGATAACATGATATGTAAGATGGAGAGCAAGAGGTTCATCCGGGGGGCGTACTATCTCTGCACGCAGCTTCTGACGCGCGCTTACCATCAAGGTGGGAGGGTATCCGACGTATTGAAGGAATCCTGTTAACGAAAGTCTCAGGAATACACGTGTCTAGCGAAGAAGTCCTCCGGCTGAGATCTTTTGCGCGAGAGGCAGCCGCTAAGAAGCAATCTATTGTCTTTTTGCCGTGTCATAAATCGCATGTCGACTATGTGTCGCTCCAGCTTATCTGCTATCGCCTTGGAATTGGGCTTCCGGTCGTGGTGGCGGGAGAGAACCTCAACATCCCGATGCTCGGCCCTTTCCTCCAGCATGCAGGTATGGTTTGATTCGCCTCGGAATATTATGCGCTTGCTGACTTGCCTAGGCGCGATGTGGATTCGGAGAAGCTTTGGAAACGATCCACTATATAACACCGTTGTACAGGCTTATATTGATACCATGCTGCAGCAAGGGTTCAACTTTGAATGTTTCATTGAAGGTGGTCGTTCGAGAACCGGAAAGCTTCTTTCGCCCAAGTTTGGCATTCTTAGCTTCATTTTGGACAGCGTCCTCTCGGGTCGTGTGGAGGACACCATCATATGCCCTGTCAGCACACAGTATGACAAAGTGATTGAGACCGAGTATGTGCTCTCCTGATAATTGACCACTAAATTCTAACCATGCGTTTAGGTCCTACATTAGCGAACTCCTTGGTCAACCGAAGAGAAAGGAAAACCTGGCTGATTTCTTATCTTCGTCCTCTGTTCTTTCTCTAAAGCTCGGTCGGGTTGATGTTCGATTCCACGAGCCATGGAGCTTGAGAGAGTTCATCAACCAGCAATTGACACGAATGCCGGAACAGATCGTCGCTAATGGTGGCCCGCAGCTGAGCTATGCTGATCGAGGCCGGGTTTTGAGATCCCTGGGATACAGGGTCTTGTCTGACATTAATGACGTGTCTGTAATGATGCCTACAGCTCTGGTTGGCACTGTACTTCTTACGCTTCGCGGTCGAGGCGTCGGCAAAGGTGAAATGGTTCGGCGCGTCGAATGGCTGTGTGAACGTGTTCGAGCAAAGGGAGGACGGGTCGCTCACTTCTATCGTTACCCGACGGATGTCGTTGTCGACCGTGCGCTAGAGGTCTTGGGGCCGCAGCTTGTGGGCGAGGTGAGCGGACTGGTCGAACCGACATACTATGCTGTGGATCGTTTCCAGCTTTCGTTCTACCGCAACATGACAATCCACTTGTTCATCACGGAGGCGCTGGTGTCTGCGGGAATGTATACGAGGATCAAGCAAGGCGGCGGGCCGTCTTATCAGCGCATTTCCTATCAAGATCTCCTGAACCAGGTTTCGTTCCTATCTCAGGTGAGTCAACTTTATCATTATACCCTGGGCAACCCTTGCTAACCAACCCAGCTCTTCCGTGGCGAATTTATCTTCCCTCCTGAGGGCCTGACAACAAACATGGAAAAGACCCTCCGCGGACTCGAAAGAGACAACATAATTACAGTGAGCCGGGACGCTGCCGGCGCGCCACAATTTGTGGAGCTCAGCGACGCAGAACGGCAATGTGGCCGCGAGAACTACGATTTCTACTGCTTCTTAGTCTGGCCTTTTATTGAAGCCTCTTGGCTCGGCTCCGTCTCTCTCTTAGGACTGACGCCCCCTCTCAACGGTGCTGAAGATGTCTGGATCGATCTGAACAAGGCCCAAAATAGCGCCCAACTGGTAATTCAATCCACCCCCAATCATTTCCAGTAAACACTAACACACAACACAGCTCGGCAAAACCCTCTACCACCAAGGCGACCTCTCCTACTTCGAAGCCGTCAACAAGGAGACACTCCGAAACTCCTACCAACGCTTCGCAGAAGAAGGCATTATTCAAGTCGCCAAAAGCAAAGGATCAAAGATGTCCACGATGAAGCTAGCCCCAGAATGGACGCCTGAGCGGGATCCAACCACGGGAAAGCTTCTTCCTCGTGGTCGTCTCTGGGACTTTACTGAGCTGATTGCACAGTCCAGACGTGAGGGGTAAGTCGAATGATACTACATCATCTTCTCTCAAATACATTAGCCTGACATGCTGACATTTCGAAGCAAAAACCGCCGTGACGGCGCAACAGTCTCGTCGCGGGTTCTGCACATGTCGGACGTTGTGGGCCGCAAGTTATTCGAGGACGCAAGTCCTAGTCCCGCTGCGGCGGAGGAGGTTGATATCTCCATAAGGCAAATGAGGAGGAAGGCCATTACGCCTAGTTCGAAGCTGTAGATGGATTATGTGGCAGGCGCCTGAGACGAAGCGTAGCGTAGCGTTTAATGCCCTTTTGTATATTTAGAGCCTTGCATGCGAGGACTACCGTTGATATCATTATAGCCTCCTCAC